CAGCAGTCTCTTTGCTGACCTAGCTTTGGGTCTCCTTCCCCCCCTACATACACCTTCTGTGGCCTCATAGGACCTTGTTTTGAAAACAAGTGTTGAATCTCTGGGGTATCTGCAGGCGAAAAAAACAACAGCTGCCACTGTGTAATTAAAGCCGCAACCCTTTTCTATATGGGTTGGCATAAGCTGTGCATAAAAAGGAGCTTTGACTGCATGATTGCAATTGTCATCTTGGCTTTCTACGGTCTCCCCCTTTCCCCCCCCATCTCTGCAGATGCCCCCGTGTCTGCACCTCCTGTGGCTCTGACTCCAATCAAACCCCCGAGGGCTGTTTTGTTGTTGTTGATCTCTGTAAAAAGATGAAATTAAGTGAAAAGGTTAATTGAAAAACAAGGTGTCAGCTGGAATATAAGCCAAAAAGAAGAGGAACTAATAAACCATGGTCTCGGTTCAGTGCATTGCCTGGGTTTAACTATGGTTATTGCTAAAGTGCCAACAAGCTTTTGAAATGGCAAGCAGGCCTAGTTGTGTGTATTTCATTAAAATATATCTATTAGTGAAATGTTAAAAACAGAAATGAGTAATTGGTGATTACGCTAAAATTAAAATTAAAGTAAACTGAGGGAGAAAAATTAAAGTAAACTGAGGGAGAGAAAAAAGAACTTAGGCAAAAGAAAAAAAAAGAAGATCCATACAGGATCAATATAAAATGAATTCAGTTCTTCAACTTATTATTAAATCTGGACTACTTGGAAACATATTACTCCCTCTTCTCATTTTTAGAACATAAAGATACTTCATGTGCATTTAATTTGTTCCGTGCTGAGCTGCAACCATGATGGCAGCAAAGCTGTTGCTGACTAGGTGTTGGTTCTGCTACAGATCCGTGGCAAAGGTCTCGACTGGCCTCTGATCGTGAAGGATTTCAACCTTTTGCGCTGGCTGGGAGCCAATTCCTTCCGCACCAGCCATTATCCGTATGCGGAGGAGATCATGGAGCTGTGCGATGCTTATGGCATTGTCGTGATTGACGAGGGCCCAGCAGTGGGCATGCACGACAGGTGAGGAACGGTTGCCCTGCCAGCAAGACTTCTGTCACATAATGTGCTAAGGCAGGAATGAACCATCTTCTGGTAGCAGGCTGCATGTAACTTCTTTTTTTTTTAATCTATCGCCCGCAGCAGGTTGGATAATCTAATGGGAAAACACCTACGGGTGTTCTCAGTCAGGGCCAACCGTTTATCAGGGTTTCCAAGGATAGGAGGCAGAAATCTAAGAAGTGGGAGTCTAAAGAGGTCGCCAGGGGCTTAAATCTGGCAGGGGTGGGGAATTTGTGGTCCAGTATGACCAGTGATCAAGAATGATGGGAGCTGTGGCTCCCCCATCCGGAGGACTGCAGGTGTCTCGCTCTGGGTTTCAGGCAGTGGGTTTCAGCTGGTGGGCTGTGGTCTATCCCACGGTGGCTTGTATCTTGTATTTGCTTCAAGAAAAAATGAAGTAAATTGTGGGGACCACAAGAGAAAGCGGGGGGATGTCTGGAGCACGAAGTGTTCTATAAAAGCTGAAATATTGCAACTTTCTCCTGTCCTGATAAGCATGGGTTGATGGGGGTTTTAGGAGTTCTCAGAGAATGGGATTAATTATTTGGGGAATGCTCAGAGAATTGAATTTTCAATTCCTTGGCTTGTCCATCCTCTTACTACAATTCCTTCTGCTTTTCATGGAGGAAGTGCTGTTAAATGCAAGTTTGCTTTCAGACGGAGGGTGCCTTGCGATAGCAACTCCAAGGCCTTGTCCATCTATTCCGTTTCCCCCTTCTGAATGGATTTTTTTTCCTGGTCTCTCTTTGCTTCACTTTTTAGTATGAACTTTGAGAACCAGTCTCTCCAACACCACCTTGTCGTGATGGAGGAGCTGATCCGGCGGGACAAAAATCGACCCTCAGTTGTGATGTGGTCGGTTGCCAACGAGCCAGCCTCAGAGTTGCCTCCGGCTGGTTACTACTTCAAGTGAGTACCTGCCTCGTGAAGCCAGCTGGGAATGCGCTGTGAGATCTGTAAACCGGACATGAGCCCACACAGGAAATGGAATTTGCATTCATAGGAATAGGGGGACGATAGCTGTAATCCTACACCTGGCTGTCACCTACCAGGAGGGCTCTTTTGTGGTTTACAGTAAGGTAGGGGAAGTCTTCATTGTGCCAGCAGAGCCTAAACAATGCAAATGTTTTATCCCAGGATTAAGATGTTTCACTGACATGCACAGCGCGCTGCACATCCTTAAGCTCTTCTCCAGATGCTGCTTCTTCCTCTAAACGTATTTATTTATTCAATTTATATAGCCGCTCACCTCATATATGTGACTCTAGGTGGCTTACAGTAAAATGGATAAAATACATAAATACAGAATATAAAAATAAAACACATAGCAGCTGGGCATCAACCAAACAGTTGTCAACATAGCCAGGAGATGGACTCTGTTGCACACCCAGGGCCCCAGGCTTGGGTACAAAACCAGGTTTTCAAGGCCTTACAGAAGGCAAGCAGGGACAGGGCCAATCTAATCTCGGCAGGGGGGGATGATGTTCCAAAGGGTGGGCGCCACAGCAGAAAAGGCTCTGCTTCTGGCCGACGGTATCCGGAGCGTGCCCCTCCTGCCAGATCAGGTAGGACAGGTAGAGACAGTTGGGGAGAGACGGTCCTGCAGGTAACCTGGTCCCAAGCCATGAAGGCCAACCAGTGCCTTGAATTGCATCCAGAAGCCCACTGGAAGCCAGTGCAGCTCACGGAGCAGTGGTGCCACACGTCCCGAGTAGCTGGCACCATTAACTGCCCCTGCTGTCACTTTCTACACTGGTTCAAGCTTCTGAATACAATTCATTGTTACCATTATTTTTATTGTTACCATTGTTTTTATTATTGTTGTTATTATTTTACTTAAACTGCACAAAATATAATATCCACTAAGGTATGGTGAACCAGTAATAGAACAGACCATACATCTATATACATATCATTACAGGCTTATGATAAACAGACTTTGAACAAAATGACATGAAATGAAATCTGAACTATCCCCTGAAAAATCAGACTGAAAATGTCCGATCCACCTTCTCCAGGACATCGCTAGCATCCTGCCTCTCCCCCACCCCACTTCCCACAAAATCTAAGAATTTGTGGCCCCAGATTGGAGGAAAATTGCCCACCTCCAATCTAAGATTCCAACATTTTTTGGCTGCAGCTCTTTCTGGTCCTGATTCCTTACTTAATGAGAGATGTCCCAGATCAAAGCTGGGACTTTCTGCCTGTCTGGTATTGCCTTTGGGGTGTTGTTATCTCTGGCTACCACGTTCTGATAAGGGTGGGAATCCACAGTTGAGCTGCATGTTACTGTGTAGGCAGTCAAAAAAGGCACAGAGGACAAATTACTTCCCATTACAGTAATCCTGCATTCCAAAGTTGATGGACATTTTCAACATGCCGCCTGAGAACAGGTATCTTTGGAAGGATCCTCGGTTCCTAATGGAGGAAAGAATGCAACTGAACTGTACTTGGTATAGAAAGAAATAACCCTGAATTTTACCTTCACCCTGCAGGACAGTGATAGCCCACACCAAAGCTTTGGACCCTACTCGGCCTGTCACCTTTGTCTCGAATGCGAATTACCTACGAGATCAGGGGGTAAGTATTGTTTGTCTTTGAGTCATTTAACAGAGAAAGTTTTCCTGCCTGCCCTTTCTGCAAACTTGTTCAGCATCCATTGCAAAGGGGAAGAGCAGAAGATCTGGTCCTGCATTGCTGAGAGATCAGTTGAATAACTGAAAAAGAATTCCAGATTAGGCGCTTTACTGCGTCAGAGCACACAAGCATTCTTTATCCCTACAAACAAAGGGACAAAAAGTCAGGCGGTGATGCAGCTGCTTTAAGGAATCTGCTTCTTAAAGTGACTCTTGAAGCAGCAGATCCTGTTTTTCAGACTTATGTGAAATGCTAAAAAGGGTTGGGTTCCTTTAACGGATAGCAAGGAAATGCTGTGCTCCTGCAAAGTCTGAAATATCTCTTCCAAGTAACTTTTAAAGTATGCTGAGCAGGAGGGGGGTTCAAAAAGTCAAGATGGCAGCCACGACCACATGATCAAAGTCTGCCCCTTTTTATATGCATCCTGACACGAGTAAGAAGGGGCAGGCCTTTGATCATATAATTGTGGCTGCCATCTTAACTTTTTTGATCCCCGGCAGAAACTCCTGGTGCCCTTTTGGATCAGACAAAAGATCCATCTAGCCCAGCATCTTGCTTCATTTAGCAGAGAAGCTCATAAGCAGGACATAATAGTAAGGTCCTTTATCAACCGTTTGCATACCAACAGCTGGTGTGAGGTAGACTGCTTCTGAATCAGATGGTACAATGTGGCTGTTGTGACCAACATTGGTTAATCTACTCTAAGATTCATTCGTCATCCTATAGCAGGAGTTGGCAATCTCTTTGGTGGGATTTTCCACTTTTCCTGTTTAGAAGGGAGTTTCTCCTTCTTTTAGAACTGCCCATCTTTGGGCTCACCTTACGGCTTTTGAGTGTTTCTGGCTTCAGAATGGTGGGAAGCTCTGTCATCAAATGCCAGAGCCAGACCAGGTCTAAACTCCAGTTAAAACAGACCTGCAAAATTTGTTTCATCCAGGACTGGCTGGATCTGATTAACAGCAGCTTGAACATGCTGTGCACAGTCCAACTTTTTTTGTCTCTCAGAATTCTCTATCAAAATCAGGGTGGACAAGTTATTCTTAGCTGAGAAGGCTGCACTCTTTGAAAGACTGAAGGGGACGTGGTGTAAGAGTATTGATGCCCCTAGCTGGGGCAGGGTGTAAATATTTGGCTTGTTTTGGGGGTGGAGGAGATTGGAGGATTCTTTGAGCAAAATAGAAGTGCAAGCCTACCCAAACCTTGGCATGCCTAATTTAGCACTTACTCTTACAGAGGAAAAGAAATTGTGCTTCCAAATATCAGTGATTTCAGTGCTACAACGGTGGAATTGTCTGCCTAAGGTTGTGGGTTCTCCCTTTCTAGAGGTTTTTAAGAAGAGGCTGGATAGCCACCTCTCAAGGATGGTTTAAAATGCTTCCTATTAACAGAGAGTAAACTAGATGATTCTTGTGGTCCCTTCCATCTCCACAATTCTGTGATTCAGAGTATAATTTGGGGCAGAAGAATGGAGCGTTTTGGCCACGCGCGGCATGCAGGCTGCAGGTTGCCAACTTTCATTTTATACAAGTAAATATGCAAAGAGAATGAGTCCGGTTGTCTCATGTAAGGAGGAATGTTATAATCTCCTGGATTCCCTTCATCATCTGAACTAACCTCAGATTCCCTTAGGCACCTTATGTGGATGTCATCTGTGTGAACAGCTACTTCTCCTGGTACCATGATTCAGGACATCTGGAAGTGATCCGGCTGCAGCTGAACACACAGTTTGAGAACTGGTATACTACCTATCAAAAGCCCATCATTCAGAGTGAATATGGAGCAGGCACCATCAGTGGCTTTCATGCTGTGAGTGTTGTGATTTTGAGGGGCAATTGCAACAGTATAAATTAGTTTGCAGGGAGGAGGAGCAGAGAGGCAAGAGAGAACTTTTTCTGTACTAAGGACATTTATTCCTGATCCTTTCAGGGCTTTTCCAGATGGAACTGGGTCTATATCCATATCCATATACCATACCCTTATACATATACAGGTAGTCCTTGTTTAGCGACTGCCTTGGACAGCAACTGTTCGCAGTTATGATTGTGATGAAAAGGTAACTTTGCGACTAATGCCCACATTTACGACCTTTGCAGCATCTCTCAGTCATGTGTTCACCATTACATTCTTTTCAATGTGTATTCCTTATTGTTTGCCTGCTTACTCTCTTGTAATTCCTTCCTCTCCACTGAATGTAAATACAAACATCAATTCTCTTCTTGCTAATTATCCCATTGCTGGGCTGAGCATTCCAAAGGATGGGGGAGTAGGGAAAAAGGGCTGTAAAATTTGTCCTTTTACCCAGCTTCCTTGTGAGTCAAGTGCTGGAAACCTTTCCCGCTGTTTGTGTGGTCATATCCTTCTGACGCTGTAAAGCAAAGGAAAGCTGAAGTAGAATCATAAGCACAGTCACGGACATCTGATTTTTCACTTAGCAACCATTTCGCTTAACCGAGTTGCCAGTCCCAATTGCGGTCACTAAACAAGGACTACCTATATGACATGCTGCATAAACTGGAGCCATGCAAATTTCAAACCAACTTATGCTCTCTAGGATAGTGTTTTTGCTCAACACTGGCTCATTGCAGTGAGGTTCACTCACTGTTTGTTTGCAAGCCAGGATTTGAAGTTCTTGCAAGGCAAGGTTCCTCAGTCTGGTTTCCTCCAGCAGTGGTGATGCATGCTGCTTGAGAGGGAGAGAGATTTCACAGATACATTAATGGACCAAACTTAAAAATGACCATTGGAGTCCTGGTAGATTGCTCAGTGAAAATGTCAATTCAATCTGTGACTATTACTAAAAAGCAAAATCCTTGCTTGGAATCATTAGGAAGAGAATTGAATGCAAAGCTGCCGTAATAGTAATGCCCTTATATAAATCTATGGTAAGGCCAGACTTGGAACACTGTGTACAGTTCTGATCATCCCAGCTGGGAAAGGATATTGTAGATCTGGAAAAGATCTGAAAAATAGACTTTAAATCATGCATGGTATGGATAACTTTTTCTCCCTTTCTCACAATTTTAATTTTTGGGGTCATCCAAAAAATGTGTTTAAAATGCAGGAAGAAACTTCACTTCATCCAGTAAACTGAGGAATTCATGGCTAACAATGAACGTAGGGGTGGCCACTAAAAGGGTCTTGAATTCATTGGGTTGGCCATTGGATTGAAAGATGCTGGATGGGGTTTTGGCTTGATCCAGCAGGGCTCATCTTACATCTGGAACTATAACTCTTAGACTTCCTAGCCAACATAGGACTCCTATCCTAATGTAGGATTCTGAAAATCACCTGCAGACAACTGTTTTCTCCTTCAAGACCTCACACAATTCTTGCAAGTCTTTCATGGTTGAGTTAGATTTGCATTTCAAATACATGCATATAGTCTTACTTTGGCAGGGATCATATGTTATGCTAAACCCAGGATTTCTGAAAAACAGGTTTGTTGGAGGAACCATCATGACTTTGTTCATGCAGAAGCATAAATAGATGGCGCTGCAAGTCACACTAAGCAAAAGAAAGACACTTTCACGATGTAGCACACAGTGTATGAACCCAAAGATGTAAGAATGTGAAAGGGATCAATAACCATCCATTGGTTCTAGTTCAGCCTTATATTGAGTTCTGACTGGAGATCCTGGGAGTTGGAGTCCCAATGCCTCTGGAATCTTCCAGGTTGGAGGAGACTGCTGTAGAGGATGAAAATAGAACTGCGGGGTTAAAATTAGCAAAAATAATGGGAGAGTTAAATTCCTATAGGAGCCCTTTCCTTTGATACAGGATGCTGCAGAGAAGCATATTTGAACTAACCGTAGGAGAAACGTGGTACCAGTAAGAGGTTTTCTGTGAAACAGACTGTATCTGGAAGCGCTTTCTGTTGCCAGCAGTATTTTAACAGAGACTGGAGCATCATTGTCAGGGATATTTTACCTGCATTTTGCACCACAGATCTTGCACTAAGTCATTGGCAGAGCTAAACAATCTCCTGGACTACGTTCACCCAATATTTTCACCAGGTCATAAGTAGAGGCGCAGCAACTGCATTTGCAACAACATTCTAAGCTTGGTTACTGTTTTTGTGATGTACGGTGTTGTACAAACTCAGTCCTTGAGTTAGTTTAGAGTTCATTGTATTGAGCAAATGCAGAATGTGAAAAAATTCGGTCACCAGGTTAAGTGTGTTATATTAATTAAGTGATTTTCCGAATCCTCATAGATGATTGTTCTAGAGCTGGATGGCGCTCGGTTGCCATTTATTTCAAGAGTACTTGAATACTTGCTGTTATTTTTGTTAGACTCATGCTCCTCCCCGCACTTTTCTGGTGCATGCAGGACCCCCCTCTCATGTTCTCTGAGGAATATCAGGCAGATGTGCTCAAAGAATATCATGCTGTCTTCGACCAAAAGAGGAAAGAATATGTGATCGGAGAGCTCATCTGGAATTTTGCTGATTTTATGACAGAACAAGGTAGGGGCTTATTAGGAGAAAACTGCCACATTGTCCTGCCAAATACTTAAGGCTGGATTCATTAAAATGACTTGATTTTATTTCGTCTTACTCTGATTTCAGAGGGATATACCAGGGTTTAACTCTGGCTGGAACAGAAATATTTACACAAAAATTTCAGGGACAAGGCAGGAAAAGTTAATAAATCTCAATCACGTTTCAGTGATATCTTGTATTGGCAAGACTTTAACAATGCTGTTGTATCCAGCAAGCCTCTAACTGACCTTTTGAGGGCTAGAATGGCCCCCAATCCAGGCAAAACTCAACAGACACAGACATGTGTTGCTCTCTTATGAATGTGAGAAGCCACGGTTGTTTGAGCTGGACCTTGCAATGCCACATGACAACATTGCTTTGGGTGCTGGTTGGGTCCATGCGTCACACTAAGCCATATTGTAGTTTGGTTTTGATTTACTGGAGTGTGATGTCCAGACAAGGTGAATATAGAACCACTGGTTCATTTTATAACAGTGAATTAGGGTATTTTAAACTGATATAGCTCACTCACTGCAGGTTTAGTGGGGTTTTTTCTTCTTTTTTGGCGGGGCACAGTATGTTATGTGAGTGTAGCAATGTGTTTTGTTAACTCAGCCTCCAAGCCAAAGCTGCAGTCAGTAAGCCAACATCAAGCTATAGTTTCGAACTCTGCTTTACTGCCCTGTCATCACCCTGAACCAAAAGCATATTATGGCTTAAGGCAATGTGCTAAATCTGCCTCAGCATATATGGCACTCAGCTGCAAAATACTGAACCCCATTTTATTCGAATCCACTGTGTTGTGCCACTCTTTGGGCCAGCCACCCTCTCTCGCAGCCCAACTCGCCTCACAGGGTGGTTGTTGGGGGGAAAAGAGGAGGAGGAAGGAGTCTTAGGTATGTTCGCCGCCTTGAGTTATTTATAAAAAAAATAAAGGCGGGCTAAAAAAAATCTTAAAAAGAAAAAATCAGCCATTACCTGTTTGCACAACAGGATAAGCCAGATTACCATGTCATACAAATTCAGGACACAAGTTAAACTGTAACTGGGAGAAATCCCTTAATGACACATCATAATCATGACTGGTAAGTTAGCTTTCCTTTACCATAATTTGGCATGTGGTCTGAAGCCAAATGTATAGCTAGCTTATCATTAAGCACCATTGACTTGTAAGCCACCTAGAGTCACTTATACAGTGAGATGAGTGGCGTACAAATTTGATTAATAAATAAATAAATAAATTTCGGCTGCAGGAAACGAGCTGGGGGGTGCAGCACTGACTCTACTGTTCCTATTTTGTTCCCCTGCCCCCACCCCAGCATTTCTCCAAAAAAGGACTAGGGAAAACATTAGCCTCCCAAGGCCACCAGGTTTTGGATTTTTTAAAAATCAAACACCAAAAGCAGCAACCCAAAAGTGGTGCTTGAGCAGGTAACGAAACATCTGCCAGCACATCCACAGAGAAACAGGGGGGCAGTAAACAGGCATCGACGTTGGTTTGCTTTGTCATTTGAGGCCTATTTATTGGGTGAATCCCTTAATCATGATTAATTATAAGCCTGAGGTTTGTGTGTCAAGTTGGACATGGGGATGGAGAGTTTATTTGTAGGCCTCACCAAGTCCTTAAGAGCAGCAAAGGAGTGGGGAAAAGGGAAACCACGAACTGGCCTTAGAAACTCTGGTGACTGGCCAGTCTGTTACATTGATTCTGGTTGGTTTGTAGCTAAGCATGATTTGTCTTCTAATTCAATTGTCCCCATTTGCTTTGTGGTGTTGTTTCCCATCTGCAGGGGTGAAACGTGTCATGGGTAACAAGAAAGGGATTTTCACTCGCCAGCGGCAACCCAAAGCAGCTGCCTTCCTTCTGAAAGAAAGATACTGGAAGATTGCCAATGAATCCAGATCTCTGATGCCGCCCTTCACATGCAGTGTCTGCTTGCCCTAAGCCAGTATTTCTCAACCTTGGCCGCTTTAAGCTGTGTGGACTTCAACTCCCAGAATTCCC